CCCGCCCTGCCTTCCAGGCCTGGACCCACCCAGCGGCTCAGGACTGGGCCTGGTCTGGGAGCCCCCGCGATGGACACGCTGGTGACCTGGAGGGGGAGCCATGGGGAGGCGGAGCCCCCAGGGAGCAGGTCTCAGGCGCCCCTGGAGTCCCTGCACCAGACGCGTCCCTGTCCAGGCTTCCAGCGGCCTGAGCTGCTCCCCCTCCTCCGCAGCCTGTCTCCTGTCCCTCACCCTTCTCCTCCTGCACCTCCACCCCCCCACCCCCCTCAGCACAGGCCTGGACAATGGCTGTATGGATGTCCCTTCGAGCCCCCGCCCCACCTCCATCAGGGACAAGCCCTCAGGAAGGCCAGCCTTCTGCCCGGACGCTGGGACTTTTTTCTTTTTAATATGTTTTTATGGATTTCAGAGACGAAGGGAGAGGGGGCTAGACTAGAGAGAAACATCAATGGCGAGAGAGAAGCATTGACCGGCTGCCTCCTGCACGCCCCCTACTGGGGATCGAGCCCACAAACCAGGCTGTGCCCTGACTGGGAATAGAACTGTGACCTCCTGGTTCATAGGGTGATACTCAACCACGGACCACGCCGGCTGGCGATGCCTATGTCTTTAGAGCCTGGAGGATGGCCCTCCCAGGCACGGGCTAGATCTGCCAGGGCCCACAGCTCTGCCTTGGTTTCCGTCTCCATGCATCTCACAGGAGTGCTGGGGGACCCCACGGAGCAGATGGTGGGTGCAGTGTGTGCAGGCGCCTGATGCTGGGCACACAGTCTGCAGGAACTGGAAGCTGTTCCTTCTTATTAACCGCAGTCTCGGAGGGCACTTCAGGCCCCGCCCCTGCCCCAGGGGCCCAGAGCCTGGGACAGGAAGTGAAGCCACTGTGATGAGGGCTGTGGGGTCAGAGGAGAGGGCAGGAACCCCTTTTGAAGGTGAGTGGGGTTTGGATATGTGGTGAGGGGCCTGGGAGCTGGCGGAGGACAAACCAGAGTCGGCCACCACCTGCTCACCACCTGCTCCAAGGCTCCAGACGCAAAAGGAAATCAGAGCGAGCACTCATTCATTCAGCGAGAGGAAGGGCGTGTGGACCGGAGCTGGGCAATCCGTCAGCGTCAGCGAGAGGAAGGGCATGCGGACCCGGAGCTGGGCGTCCGTCAGCGAGAGGAAGGGTGTGCATACCCGGAGCTGGGCGTCCGTCAGGAGAGAGGAAGGGCGCGTGCGGACCCGGAGCTGGGCGTCCGTCAGGAGAGGACGGGCGTGCGGACCTGGAGCTGGGCATCCGTCAGGAGAGGAAGGGCGTCCACGCCCCGGAGCTGGGTGTCCATCAGCAAGAGGAAGGGCGTGCGGACCCGGAGCTGGGCGTCCGTCAGGGGAGAGGAAGGGCGTGCGGACCCGGAGCTGGGCGTCTGTCAGGAGAGGATGGGCGTGCGGACCCGGAGCTGGGTGTCTGTCAGGGGAGAGGAAGGGCGTGCGGACCAGGAGCTGGGCGTCCGTCAGGAGAGGATGGGCGTGCGGAACAGGAGCTGGGCATCCGTCAGCGAGAGGAAGGGCGTGCGGACCGGAGCTGGGCGTCCCTCAGGGGAGAGGACGGGCGTGCGGACCCAGAGGGCAGGCCCAGGACTGTAGAGCAGAGGGACTGGCCCGCAGGTCCAGGACGTCCCAGGGGGCTCATGACCCAGAGCGGCCCCTTGGGAAGTACAGGGTGTGGCAAGACGCCTGTCGCTCAGGGCAACGCTTTTGCGGACCTGCCCCCCGCCCCTCTCGGTGCACAGAAAAGAGGAGGCCTGGGAAGGGTCAGGAGCTCACATTTCTTCTAAGCCTGTCTCACCTAGATGGGGAAGCTGAGTCTCAGAGAGGCCAGGCCGGCCTTGCTGAGAGCGAGCTTGCACCCCTTTACGGTTTAGGGTGACAGCACACTGCTCCCCGGGCCGAGTCTGCTCAGTGCTCAGTGTTACCTGACTCCATATTCACAGCCCCTGGGTGGTGGGCGTTATGACCCTTAGAAGAAGGCTCTGGAAGGTGAAGGCCTGCAGGGGGCAGGCTGGGGCTCAGACCCGGGCCTTCCTGGCAGTCCAGTCCCCGCTCTTCCCTCCAGGCCACACTGCCCCCCACGGTCACCTGGATTGACCTTCCCCACGGCCTTGCAAAGGGGGTACTTGTTTCTTGTGCAGACGGGGAAACTGAGGCCCCGAGAGAAAGGACACATAGTAGCTGCCTTCCCTACAGGCCCCTGGAGTGGCCTTTGTTCTCCGGGACACGGAGGCTGGGCCCCGAGAGGCTGCAGAGCGGGGCTGGCGGAGGCCCCGGGCGCTCTGTGCGCTTAAAGGGAATCAGGTTCCAGATTCAGGCAGCTGTGGGGACACAGAGGGAGCAGCGCCCCCTGCTGCTCCTCCTCCTTCCTGCATCCAGTCAGCAAACCAGGACACCCTCAGGGGCTCCCCCTCCTGCCCGGACCCCCTTTCTCTGGGACATGCGTCTCGCCCAGAGCCTCGCTTCCTGCAGGTGAGGGTCCTTGGAGCCTGGCGTGCGCCCAGGCGATGCGCTAAGGAAGGTGAGGCTCTTCTGGTCGGGACCGGGATGCACAGGGAATGTGGGTCCTGCCACCACAGCCCGTTCTCCTGCAGATGCTGGGGGGCCGCTCCAGGCCTACAGGGGATCACTGCCTTGTTTACGTCCAATCCATTGTCCCCGCGCACCCTGTCAGGCTCTTCGCAAACAAGATACAAAGGAGGAAAGAGAGGCAAGTGGTAGGAGCAGGATGGGAAGCCGAGGTGAGGGAGAGGCCGCCTGTAGTGCTGCCCACACGTTCCCCTCCGAGGCTCCTGGCGGCCAGGGAAGCAGGGGGCCCAGGGGATGAGAACAAGCCGTGGCTCCGAAGCAGCCTGGGGCTCCCCGTGGAGCGGGGAGAGGGTCCCCAGGGAGCCAGAGAGAGAGACGCACCCTCCTCCCCGAGTCCCGGGGGCTCCCCGGGGACATGCCTCGGGGTGATGGAGAGAGACAGCCCAGGGACCTGCAGGGGCTCCGTTGGAGCGGGGAGAGGGTCCCCAGGGAGCCAGAGAGAGACGCACCCTCCTCCCCAAGTCCCAGGGGCTCCCCGGGGACATGCCTCGGGGGGATGGGGAGAGACAGCCCAGGGACCTGCAGGGGCTCCGCGAGCCCGCGGTGAGGAGAGCCGCAGTGTCCAGGCGGAATGATCTGGAAGCGCATCAGGCGCCCGTGACACTGAAGCGGGTGAGGAGCGGCCTCTTTCACTCAAGAGCCTGCCTTCCCCGTGCCAGCACTGCCCCCCCCAAAAAAACCCACATTAGCACAGGCAGAGCTCCATCCTCCCACAAGGGCTCAGTCAGCCCACGCGGCTTGTGGCACACAGCACCGCAGGGCGAGAAGGTTCTAGAAGAGGCGATCCCACCTCTGCGTGGAGCTGGACAGCAGGGCTGCACCCTGGTCCTCAGGTCGCGCTCCCCAAACTCTGGGCTGGCTCTGCCCTTTGACCTGCCCCTGGTGCAGGCCCGGGGCTCGCGCTGGATGAGGCCATAGCTTACCTCACTTTGGGGACCTGGACGGCCATCCCCAGCCACACCTTGGTCTGCGAGAAGCAGCATCTGACAAGAGGGGTGACTCAGAGGGTGGGCCCTGCTCGGGGTTGGGGTGGGAGGGGTGACGTGGGACACTGTCTGCAGCCCTCCCCTTGGCCCTCACCACACTGACCCCACCTGGCCCTGGGCCCTGGGCTGCAGGAGAGGCGAGGCAACGCAGCAGCAGCTCTCGGGACCCCTGGGAAGTGGGTGCTATCAGGACCCCCATTTTGGAGTGAGGCGCCCAGGCACAGAGAGGTGGAGTGATAGGCCAGGCCACAGCACAGGGCTGTCCCTTCCTGAACTCTGAGGCTCAGGGTATAGAGAGATTGCAAGTGCGCGGGGCCATGGAGGGGCCATGAGGCAAGTCCCTGGGGGTGACTGCTGCTCTCGGGACCCCTGGGAAGTGGGTGCTATCAGGACCCCCATTTTGGAGTGAGGCGCCCAGGCACAGAGAGGTGGAGTGATAGGCCAGGCCACAGCACAGGGCTGTCCCTTCCTGAACTCTGAGGCTCAGGGTATAGAGAGATTGCAAGTGCGCGGGGCCATGGAGGGGCCATGAGGCAAGTCCCTGGGGGTGACTGCTGGGAGCCGGGCACCCCCTCCCCACCCCCAGCCCCCCCGCAGCTGGCAGGAAAGCAGGACCTCAGGCCTACAACCCAAAGGAAGGGAATTCTGCCAAAGCCGCCCACCTGAGCCCCTGCGCCAGGCCCGCGGACACGGCTCGCTTTGGCCCGAGAAACCGTGAGACCATAGGTG